TTTTTTTTTTTCACCAGGTTTCTGGCCTCTCCAATCTCCTATACTTTCCAATGCAACTTAAGCTTCACCATCACAGTCTCATCATTCCTGGGCCTCTCAGAGCCTACTTTCAGGTACTCTGACCCCGGCACAAATATTACGACTAAGAGTTATTGCAATGTGATGGTATTTAAGAACTTTGGAGCAGGGAAAACTCTGAGACAAGAGATAGGTATGGGGGAAGAAAAATTGTCACATTCTCTTTCTCCATTCACCTGTGGACAGACATCTAGGCTGGTTGTATTCCTGGCTGTTTTGAATAGTGCAGCAAGAAACATATGTGAGCATGAATCTCTGTGGTGTGGTGACTTCGAGTCCTTCTGGTTCACACTCAGGAGTGTTATAGCTGAGTAATGTGGGAGTTCTAATTTGGGCTTTCTGAGGAATATCCACACTGAATTCTCTGGTGGCTACATCGGTTTGCATCCTCATAAGCCTTGTATAATAATAATAATTCTTCTTTCCTCCCATCCTTGCCACCAGCTGATGTCACCTGATTACCCGATGCCTTTCTGACTCAGGTGGAAGGAAACTCAAAGTAGTTTTAATTTGCATGAACCCAGTGAGTAAGGAATACTACTTGAAATATTTATTAACCTTTTCAGATTATTGTCTGTTTACTTGACTAGCCCATGTATTTAGTAGCTGACTGTTTTGATTCCTAATTTTTAAGTGATTTATATAGTTTAGAATAATAAGTGTATTTGGCAAAATTTCTTCCATTCTGTATGCTGTCTTTTCAGTGTGGTGATGATTTTCTTGGCTGTGAGTAAGCTTATTAAATTTTGGAAACACGTTTGACATCTCCTGCAGTTATTTTCTATTATTAGAGTCCTTTACAGAAAAATTTTTAAAAAATATTTATTTTTATGTGTATGAGTGTGTTGCCTCATGTATGTAAGTGCACCCATGTCATGCAGTGCTGCAGACGCAGAGAAATTACCCTTCCCTGAATTGTTCAGGGAAGTGGACAAACTCACGGACTACACAGCTGTAGCTTCCAGAAGTTCTACACTAGTGGCAGGATTCTAGGCAGGAAAAACTCTATATCCATCTATTTAGCAAAACCCGCCTTCGTAGGGGTGGTCCTGTGACCAGATGATTGACCAGTTAAACTGACACAAAACGGGGGGGTACTTGAGGTATTACAATAGTATATTGTAACAGTGTTTTCTGATCACAGCAGGACAGTTATATTAACACACAGTGGTTGTGACAGCATGCACCAGAGCCTCGAAGGTTCTTGAGATAGGATTGAGAATGTGGGCAGGAAGTACCACTCCTAGCTGGGAGCTCCTGGTAATTTCGAGCTGGTGGGAAAGGGAGAGTCATTTTTCTTTAAGTGTATGAACCCTGTTAGGTCAGTCAAACCCCAGGAAATGACCCTGTACCCAATAGTATTTGAGTAACACAAATTGGATTCCATGGGCTTTAAAATAAAAAAGTGAATATGAATGTGTGTGGTTAGGGGTGTGAAGGTTGATCTGGCAGGTGTTAGGGAGTGGTGAATGTGATTAAAATACATTGTATGAAATTCTCAAATAATTAATAAAATTATTTAAATAAAAATACTATTTAAAACAAGTTGGGCATGGTGATGCAGGCCTTTAGTCCCAGCACTAGGCAGGCAGAGGTGAGTGGATCTCTGTGAGCTTGAGGCTAGGGTCTACATAGTGAGTTCCAGGCCAGATGGGGCTACAAAGAGACCGTGTTTCAAAAGGACCAAAATAAGTAAATAGATAAATAAATAAATATCCAAGAATAAGTTGAGCCAAGGTGGTAAATGTTAAGACTGAAGAGAACTTTGAGGAAGGGCCTTGAAAATGGAAAGATCCCTCCCCTATGCTCATGGATTGGCATCATACTGCAAAAACACAGTTCCTATTAAAATTCTAATGACATTCTTCACAAAACTTCAAAACACAATTCTAAAATTTATATGGAAGCACAAAACACAATAAATAGCTTTAAAGAAAATCCTAGACAGCTAGAGCAATGCTGGAGGTATCACAATATATGACTTTGGATTACACTACTGAGCCATAGTAACAAAAGCAGCATGGTATTAGAACAGGAGTCTTACAAATCAAGGGAGTAGAAGAGAGGACTCTGGAGTAAACCCACACAACTCAACCCATCAAGAGTGGTGTCAAAAACACATTGTAGGCCCTCCCTCCATTGCCCAGAGAGGCAGAACAATGACCTGCATCCTCTCTTGCCTATTCCTCTTATCCCTCCAATTCTCCCTCCCCAGCAGGGTGTAACTGAGTCAAAGGCAGAATCAGGTTCCCACCTTCCTGTTCAATAATCCTGCCAAGGGAGACCCAGAGCACAGGAAAATCCAAAGTGTAGAGTGTGTCATCTGTTCAGGAGGG